CAGACATGGAGATTTAAAGTGCTGTTGAACGTTCAGAGGTGACCACGCTTGTCACTCTATTGGGTGGAATATAGAGGGGAAGTGAGCAGTAGGTAACAGTGTTAGGTCTACATCTAAAAATCAATAAATTGTTACAAAATGCTTAAGGTTGATACATACATACAAAATATCAGTATAAGCAAATTATTGAGAAATACAGCAGTACCTATCAGACAAAATTAGAAATAGTGGTTTCTTCAAAGGAAGACAACTGCAGTGTTACATCATAAGCTCTTTTGTCCTATTGTATGTTTAAGTATATTACTTTGTACACATTAGTTTGATAAGCCAGAGAAACAGAAGATACAACATCAACAACATCAGCGATTTGGTTTCAGGAAAACAACATCATCCCTTACATCAAATGAAAGGTGGCTAATTGGGAGTCCATTGATATTGTCACTTTGATCTTATTTATTTTGTAAATTTGTTTTGATTTTATAATAGAATAAAAGCATGAGGATTTTATACCTAGTTTTATGTATGTACGTTTCAAAATATCACTGGAATAAAAAATACTGTAAGTCAACTCCAAGAGGCCAAACCATTTCTTTTGCTATCATTTTATCACTCAAGTTTGAGAAATACCACTTCACTGCAAGGGGTTAAGCTACCTTGGTACCAACTCATTACTCAAGGCTTGGTTCAATTTCATCTCTTCCGTGAAGCCTTTCCTCAATCTTCTAGGCAGAATTGATGATGATTTCCTTTGGGTCTCACTGTACACTGTACATGCATTTATCACAGCTCATGTCTCTCTTTATAGCATTGTTTACACAGATGTTTGGTTATGATTCCTAGACTAAAAGTGCTCATGAGCTTATTCATCTGTATCCTTAGCACCCAGCTCACACCCAATCACATGCGAGGAACCCAGCATATGTTTGCTGAATCCAATGGGTGGTAGCAGCAATGATAGTCTCTTGGCTCTCAGAATCCCCTTCAAAGGTTAGCCATCAAATTGAAAAAGCACAAGTTACTTTATCCACCATAGCCTAAAAGCTTTTTAGAAGTAGGGAAACATCGAGATGAACTTTAAGTCTTACAGTTAGATTTATGGCACATTAAGGGCATCATAAAAAGAGTTGCCTTAAACTCCTCTCCTGAGTCTCTCTGTACCTCTGTAGAGATAAGGTAATGGTGTCATTCTATTCAGGTATAGTAAATATCGCTACAATGGTAGGATATCCTAGCATATAATGACATACCATAGTTAGTTACACATGATCAACTTTGTTAAGATAACTTGGCAACACTGAGATTTTTGCTGCTACTGTAGGAAAGGGGCTGAACAGATTTCCTGGCGCCATTCTTAGGTCCTATACAGTTTATCCTTCCCCGAGGTGAAAATGAATTTGGCTTATGGGTATGTTTACTTAAGAAAGCAGACAATAAATCTGCAATACTAGAAAGCAAAGAGGTGAAATTGTTGAATTTTTCTGAAAAGGCCAGATTCAAAGGAGGAAGTAGTAAGTTTATGGAGCAGTGTGTTCCTATGGGTTTTCATGGGTGGGATTGTCATTCACTGCCTCCTCTTCCACCCCCCCCACCCCCCGTGTGTCACCAGTATGATCACCCATTCATTAATTTATTTGGCAAGACACCAATTATAAGACACCAGTTAGGATCAGCATGTTGCCCGAGGCACCATGGTTGATTCACAACTAAGACGTGACCCTAATAAGCCAGTTAGAGTTTCGTGCAATTTGTCTCCTGACCAACCAGTCTGTGTTACTTCCAGGTTTAGGAACTGGCTCTGCCAAAAGGGAACATGTCTTTTCTATTGATTACAATTTTTTCAATGGAACTAAGTAACTCACAGGCAGGTATTTAAACAAAGGCATAAAACCTCCTTGGGAACCATTAAAGTTGGCTTAGTTGCTTTATTCTCAAGGAAAAAAAAACTTACTGTGATCTCAATTATAGTACTTCCTCAAAGGACGGTACCTAAGACGAGCCACTGTGTATTATAGTTAAACCATTATGTGATACTTAACCCTCTGCACTATTTAAACTATTTAAATATCTCATTTTATTCCCGCTCCTGAAAAAAAAAGTTGATTTCTTTAAAGAACGAGGAATAAGCCTCTTTTCTTAAATCTTCTACTTTTTTAAGCTTGGAATTTCTAGATAGTGATCTAGTTGGAAACATCAACATTTAAAAAAAAATAAGGTCTATACAGTGCCTTCTGAATGTTCTTTTTCACAGAAATTGCTTCAAAACATTCTTAAGTATCTGCATTTGGCATTTATGGGAACTTCTTACTCTCTACATTATGTTTATAATAATAAAGTAGAACTTCTCAGCCAGGTGGCAAACCAGACTACCCGAAGAATACTAAGAATTCTTTTGCACGTATTTCCTTTCATCTGTCCTCTCCATTAGCTGTTTCCTTTAAGCTACCAATGCTTTTGTAAGTTATAAGAAGTCTCATTTGAAACGTAGGTATCAAATATGGGCTAAACGAAATATTTTCCATTCTCCTCAAATAAGGCCAGGCATTATCATGTTAAGATATCCCCCCTCAGTGCCTTTGGGAATATATCACTCTTAGAACTCTGCGCTGATGGGTACAACCACAGGCCTCTCCAGAAAAGGTGCCATATTTAGACTTTAGTATAACAACACCTTTCTGTGAGCTCTGGGGGAGCACTCTTAACCCAACACACGTGTTCCATTGTTTCACCAGGCCTGGTCATAAAATAGGGTCTTAGTAATAATTATGAAGGAGTGTATCTTCATCCCTTACTCAGAATTGGCAAAGCCAATTCTTCCCTCAAGTCCCTCCTGCTACTCCAGGAAAAACTCAGAATATTCCTGGAGCTGCCGCCCTCAAGTTCGCTCTTGCCCTGAGATGGCAGGGTCCAGCCTCAAGGAACTGTGAGTTCTTCTCAAGCTGGGGGTCGGGAACACCAGTGGTCATGTCACTGAGAGGAGGAGGGGTGGGAGGTGGGGGGGGGCAGTGATTCTCCTCCAGGTTGGGCACAGGACCAAGCTAAGCTCAGCGATGCGACTCTCATTTCTTTTTCACTGAAGATTCTGGGGGAACTTGCTGGGGGCTGTACATGTCTGAGAATTAGTTCAGTGAAAGGAGAGATGATAGGCAGTCATTTCAGGCTGAGAACTGAACCATTTGTATGAGGTAAGGGAAGCTTTAAGTTGGAGAGGATGGCTCACCTTTGTGCCAGCTGATCTTTCTAGCAACAGTGACATCTTCAAAGTCACCATATTGGGTAACCGGGAGGTTTGGCTAAGGAAGAACAAATTTTGGCGCCCGCAAATTACAGTTTGGGTAAAGTGGTCCTTTTCTGGCTGGACCTCAACTTTCTTAGTCAGGTGGTATTTCACTGCTTTTCTAGAAGGCTCCTTTTGATAGAGAAGAGCACATGAACATGGCAACTAGAGGGTCTGTCTGACCGTATCACATAAGGGTCTTAATAGGAGCTGAGGGACGGCCCCTGAATGGGCCTTGAGTTCTGAGTCCACCAGTCTTTTCTACTTTGCCTGCCTGCTTCGAGCCCCAGCATGGTACACTGGACACCCAAGAATTACTTACCAAATCAATCACCTATTAGTTTGGTCATCTTGGGGAAGTTATTTAACCTTTCTGAACTTCCTCTTTTAATGTTTAGTAGAGATTATGATGCCTTCTTTGCAAGGTCATTTGTAAGGTGTAAACAGGGTGACATCCAGTTGATCCTCATTATTTGTAAAGTGGTATTTGTGAATTTGCCTACTTGGTAAAATGAATTTGTCACCCAATATCAATACTTAAATTTCTTTCACCATCATTCACAGAAATGCACAGAGTGGCAAAAAGTTTGAGTCCCCCAAAGTGCATGTTCCCAACTGAGGCCAAATAAGACCATGCTCTGCTTTCTAGTTTCAGCTCTCAGGCTAAACAAGTGTCCTTATTTTTTGGCTCTATTTAGTGCACAGGTTTTGTGGTTTTGTTTTGTTTTGTTTTGTTTTTTTTTGGTCATTTCACTGTTTAAAATGGCCTGCAAGCGTAGAGCTGAAGCACTGTGTGTTGTTTGTAAGTATAAGGAGGCTGGCACATGCCTTATGGAGAAAATACACATGTTGGGTAAGCTTTGTTCAGGCCTGAGTTACAGTGCTGTTGGCTGTGAGTTCGATGTGAATGAATCAGCAATATGTACTCAAGAAAGTGTCTTTAAACAGAAACACACAAAACAAAGTTATGTATTGATTGGGTGACGAAAATGTGACCATTATATTTTTTGGTATGAATTATGAAAAAAAAAGAAAAAGAAAATGTTGACCAGACCATCACAGGAACTTAGCCCTGTATTTCCCCGGGAGCAGGGATTTAGTGTTTGCTAATTCAGTGTTTATGGAGATTTTATAGAATGTAACTACCGTGAGTAAGGAGAATTGACAGTACCCTGAATTGCCTGGTACTTAGTCGGGGCTAACCTTACACTTACTCCTTTGACTTCTCTCCTATGCATAAGAGTAAAATGATGAATTTTCTTTGAAGAGGGAGGATTGGCTGCTTCTTTACCCTCGTTTCCTTAGAGTGTTTCCTTGAAAACTTAATAGGTCTAATAAGAGGCCTGACCTTTTTAGTTTACAATGAAAGGTCGGGAGCCTTCTGATCCTTGACACCTCCAAAATGACCTTTCTCATGAGGTTTATAGGAGACTCTCACAAAGTGAATCCATTTATTGTTCAAGGAGACAAGAGAAGACTGAATTATTCTTTCCTCTACTTCACTGTAGAAACATATAAAATTCTGTCTGAACTTTGTAGATACTTTTGAGCATGTAAATGTGGTAGTGCTTGCTTTAATAAACTGTGCTCCTTCTCTCTTCTATATTGATACAGAGGGGTAGGGGTATTTTCTTTCTCCAACATATGCTTGGGTTTTGTTTTGGGAAAGCTGTTCTTTGTCAGTTTTTTTTTTTTTTTTTTAAGATTTTATTTGTTTATTTGTCAGAGAGAGAGAGAGCACACAAGCAGAGGGAGAAACAGGCAGAGGGAGAAGCAGGCTGCTGAGCAGGGAGCCCGACGTGGGGCTCGATCCCAGGACCCCAGGACCACGACCTGAGACGAAGGCAGACGCTTAACGACTGAGCCACCCAGGCGTCCCTGTAAGTTTCTTGAGCTTGTTTGTATCTGGCAATGACCAAGATTACCAAGTGGCTCTTTGGCTTTGTTATAATGCAGTTCAAATGATTCTAATGCACCTATTAAGTTAAAGTGGCTATGCTTGTGGGCTCTCAGTGAATCAGTTTTGTTGTCGAATAATGAAGCACCTCAGGTTTTCCAGATTTCTTTGTCTACTTAGAAAAATGGATGTCCAGGCATTTCATAAGGTACTAGATGATCCTAATTGTGGATTGAGGATGTTGCAGGCATAGGAAAAAAATTACTTAGACTGCATTTCATGGCATGATTCTCAATTATTGGCTCCAGCTATGAACCAGATATCTGATTTTTCTAGGAGATACAGAACACTAATAGTTTAAGACAGAAAACAAGTTAGGGCTCCATTGATCCATCTTGTTGGCTGTTTTGAGGAACCCGTTTCACCAAGGGATGAGATAGGCAATGCTTGATTTTGTACTCATTAATCTGTTGCCTCTTCCACGCTCTTTTTTTTCCCCTGCAGATGTTCAGAGTGGTGTCTGAGTCAGTGACTCAGCATACTACTTCTTCTCGGGCAACATTTCCCAACCCTTTGTGTGTGTGTGTGTGTGTCTATGTGTGTGTGGCGGGGGTGGGGGAGGATTGCCCCAATGAGAAGCACTGCTTTCGAGAGAGAAAGCACATTCTGTGCCAAGCGGGGGTTTCTAGTGTTTTCCTGTCTCTGAGCCTCCAGGCCAGCAACAGAAAGTCATTGGTCCCTACCACTAAGGTTGCCCACCTGACTGTCCTCGGGAGAAATGTGGCTACCACATGACAGAGGTTCTTCTCAGTGGGCTGTCCTCAGGTTGCCAGCATCTCAGGAACACCATTTGCTTGGTGTCTCCCGTTTTCCTGTCTAGAGAAGGAAGAAAACACTGCCCCTCACAGAAGCTTCATTTTGTTCTGATTTTTGTTTCCTTTTTCCTTCATAGAGGACAACAAGCATAACAGCTTCTTCAAGGTATAGAACAACCGGATCATCTGATTTTCAGCCTTCCTCAGTTCTCCAGAGCTCCTAACCATAAACGTGAGCAACTTCCCTTTTTTGATCGTTCCTTCCTCAGGACCTTTGTCCAGCCAAGCTAATTGGCTCAGTGCAGAGAGGCAGAGGGATATGGAGGCTAGGAGCGTAGACCCAGTTCAAAGCCTGGCTCTGCAGTTCACGTTGTGTGACTTGGAACGGCTCAGCTTACCTTCTGGGTACTTTAGATGTCTTCTTTACAAAATGCTTCTAATGATATCCCCACCCGTAAATCGTTACCGTGACTCTTCAATGAGTTAGTATCCTCACAGCCCTTGGTATGGCGGTGGAAGGAACATCTGTGTTTCAGTGCAGATCCCCGCCACACCTTTCCCCTTTTACCTGCTTCTGGAGCTACAGGAGCTATTTTACAACTCTAGCCTGCAGAAAACGGAGAGTGATGTAATACAAGTCTTGTCCACAGACATGAAATTGTCCTGTCATTGATGCTGCCATTATCTAGCTGCTTTTATTTCGGTGTCTCTCCGAGTAAGGACCACAGGGAGCTGACATCTTGGCTCTTCTTCCTTTCAGTGTCTATGCAATAAGTTGAGTGTACAAAGGGTTCATGTTTCTTTACTGGTCAGATCTGTCAGGCCTCGTCCGACGTCCCAAAGCCCATCTGCTTGTTACTGTAGCTCTTTATACCATTGGGTGTTATTTTTGTCAATAGCCTGCCATCTTGTACCTATCCTTTTTGATGTTTTCTGCGGCAGGATTTATTATTGAGTGTTAGGGACAACCCAAAACTGAGTGCACAAACATCTGTGGCCTCCTAGCCTGTGTCATCCCAGCCCATCTTAGTTAACTACCGTGGTGTTAACACACTACCCCCAAACTTAGCAGCTTACAACAGCACACACTTGTTACCTCGAAGTTGATGTGGGTCATGAATTCAGGCATGGCTTAGATGTGTGCATCCTCTGGCGATCGAGGCATTGACCGAGGCTATGGTCTCATATCAAACTCAGCTGGGGAAGGATCCCCACTCGCATGGTGGTTGTCAGGATTCAGTCCCTCAAGGGCTATTGGACTGAGGGGTCTGTTCCTTGAGGATTATTGGCTGGAGGTTGCCCTCAGTTCCTTGCAATGTGGGCCTCTCTACATTTGCTTGATCAAGGTGTACAAACTAAGAAGCCAATAAAGACAGACTACCAGCAAGATGGTGTCACAGTCTTTTATAACTTAATCACTGAAGTCATGTCCCATGACTTTACCATATTCTCTTCATTAGGATCAAATCACTAGGTCCAGCTCATGCTCAATAGGAAGGGATTATGCGGGGATGTGAATACTAGGAGGATGGGAATCATGAGGAGCCATCTTAGAAGTCTGCCCATCACAGAGACAAATGTGAAGCAAATCTGACGGGGCAGACAAAATAATCATGACCCCAAACTCCCTAGGCTTCACGAGCAGAGGTACAAATAAGGTAACATTATTATAGCTTGTAGTCCCCACCTGCTGACACCGTGTCTTCAGCCTCTCCCTCAAAGTCAACCTTGTTTATTTCTGAGAATCCACCAAGGTATCTCATACGGTCTCATATAGTCTCAGCCCACCCTGGTCTTTAGCTACAGCTTTTACGAACAGCACCCAGGTACTGACATTAGTATTCCCAGAGATGGAGTTTCTTTCAGTCCTCGTTGCACTCTCGAAGCCATCTACAAACACACACTTGACAGAATGCTCCCTACCTGCTGGAGTCACAACTTAGATACCCGAATGGTGCTGCTGATTTCCCAGTGTTCCTGCCGTGTAGAGCCCCTCTATTTGGTCAAACCCCCTCGTTCAGGTCAGTTTGGGGAAGGGGTATAATAGCATCCTCATTGCGTTTTGATCAGATGCTCAAAACCTCCTCAGAGGTTCCCTCACTATTTCCCATCTGTGTTAATACCTAGAGGCAGTTGTAAATGTTTAACAATTGGCCCTTTAAAAAAAAAAAAAAAAAGCCCTGATTTGGAGCATTTGCCAGTTTCCATGGTATAAGTGCTCCCACCATGGATGATTACAAATGACCAATGTGACATTAGTGAGTGTGGAATTGGGAGGATATGGGAGCAGGCAGCTCTTAGCAAGCCAATATAAGCTGGCTCCAGTGAACCATTGTTTGGACAGAGCCATGATAGGAACCTGAGCCTGGACTAGCTGGAACCTCACTATGCACTCCACATGGATATTCACCTCCATCTGATAAGGCATGGGATTAAATCACTCTACTGATACTCTAGCCATGACTCCGGAACTCTTGTGGATTTCTTTCACGGAAGTTGCTTCCACGACAAACTGGGCCTAGACCTCCGTATCCTCAGAGAAAAGTCTGAAGTACTGAAACAGCCCCCCAAATTTATAGCCCCTTTAAGATCCTGTTTCCCAAGATCCTCATGGACTCCAGGCTATTTCACAGACTTGGGCTGTTCCTCTGGGTCTTTGATCTTTCCACCCTCTATCCCACCATGTTGGCCCAGCCTGAAGGACTGAGTTTCCACCCCGGTTCTTCTTCCTTGATTCTAGCTAGGACCCCATTTTACTGTTAAGGGACACTATTACCCCATATAAATTGATCCAGTTTCTTTTCTTGAGGCTTTGTTTTGCCCCCTTTACAATGAATATAATCATGGACTCAGAGCTTCTTGACACACAAAGTAGTAGAGATTTTGGAAAGAGGCAGATATGCCCTTATAATTCCATAGAAATGTGACCTTGGGTGGATCATTTAGCTTTCCTGAGTCTGAGCATCTCTGTATGTTTAGTGGAGGTGAGAATACCTACTTCCTAGATTTGTTATGGGGTTATAAATCAGAGGATGGATATAAAGTTCTGAGCACAGAGTACGTGTTTCACAAAAATATCTCCAAATACCCCATTATTGCTTTTATTGATTGTGTACACATGTTCTCTCTCTTACCCTCCATCTTTAAGCACAAGTGAATCTCTATCCATGGACACAAGGTTGGGGTTGGGTTGGATGGGGCTGAGTTGACCCGTCTTGGGCTGAGGGTCAAGCAGGAGACAGAGAGAGTTGTCACCCTTGTAAGGAGGTTCAAGACCTGGTACCACGTTTGCTTGTGTTTTTTTTTTTTTTTTTAAATACATGTTTGTATTAATTTTTCAAAATATAAAGGTATAACCTGCTCATCTTTAGAAAAATATATAGTCATGTATTTTATTTTATTTTTTATTTTATTTTATTTTATTTATTTATTTGAGAGAGAGAGCATGAGATGGGGGAGGGTCAGAGGGAGAAGCAGACTCCCCGCCAAGCAGGGAGCCCAATGCGGGACTTGATCCCGGGACTCCAGGATCATGACCAAAGGCAGTCACTTAACCAACTGAGCCACCCAGGCGCCCTATAGTCATGTATTTTAAAAAGCTAATTACCCACTCCTCCCCCTTTCCTATTCTTTTGTTGAAAGCAATGTGTTTATCCTTCTGTAACTTATACATGCTACACAAACATAAATGCATATACTAGGGCTTTCCTTGATGCTTATTTTTATAAAATGGGCCCCTAAGATATGCATTACTCTGCAACTTGTTTTTCTCACTTAATAATTCATCATATGGACATTATTTGCTTTTTTGTATGCTCTCAATACATAGTTACTGAAATATTCATTTGTGAAATAAGACTACAAAATTCTTCTGTTGTAATAACTTTATTGAAATATAATTCACATACTATATAATTCACCCATTTAATATGTAGAATTCAGTGGCTTTTAGTACATTCAAAGAGTTTTACAACCATCAGCACAAACAATTTTAGAACATTTTATCACTCCCCAAAGTACCTTTAGCAATTGCCTTCCATTTCTCTCCACCAGCCCTCTACCCTCAGCAGCCCTAGGCAACCACTAATCTACTCTTTGTTTCTAGAGACTTGCCTGTTCTCCACATTTCCTATCCATGGAATAATATGTTTTTTTTTGTAACTGACTTCCTTCCCTTAGCATGTTTTCAAGGTTCATCCATACTATAACATGTATCAGGGTTTCATTCCTTTTTATTGCTGAATACTGTTACATTGTATGGATATGCTTCATTCTGTTTATTCATCCATCAGTTAATGGTTATTTGGACTGTTTCCACTTTTTGGTTATTATGAATATTGCTTCTGTGAACATTTGCATATATCATTTGCTTTTTTTTTGAGGGGGGAGGGGCAGAGGGAGAGGAAGAGAGAAAATCTTAAGCAGGCTCTGTGCCCACTGCAGGGCCCAACATGGAGCTAGATCTTACCACCCTGAGATCATGACCTGAGCCAAAATCAAGAGTCAGACGCTTAACCGGCTGAGCCACCCAGGCGCCCCTATCATTTGCTTTTTAACCCCCAATTTTCTGGTCACCTGTTGACCTCTTTCTCATTCCACACCCCACATTCTGGGAATGCTTAGTCCTCAGCAGAATGCCAGAGTCCCTAATTTAGGGGTGTGCGCAGATGTTCAAGCTTCCGTTATACACTAGGTCTGCATGTTTTATGGTAGATGATATCGGACACTAACTCTGAAAACAACAGTTTTTCTTCTCCAACAACAAAAATAAATTCGTACTTCTCCTGACAACTTGGTTTCATGATATAATCAGAAGATACCCTGTGGTAAAATAATAACAATCTCTGCTCTGTATCTTCAGTACAGATCTCTTTCCATGTCAAATATCTGGCTGCCTGGACCATCTGGATTTCCTATAGGCCTCTCTAAAGAGCCTGTCCAAGATGGTGCTCATCATAGTCCCTGACACTCCATCCTCCACAAATGCACTCTGACTCCTGCATTCCCTACACGGGTGGAAGGCACCCGCTTACGTACTGCCACGGAGTCAGAAATCTATCAATCTGTTCTGCGTATGATCAGTTACCCAAGGCATGTCAAGCTCTCTGAAATAGTTCTCTAATTCATCCTCTTCTCCTTATCCTCACTGCTACATCAGTTCAACCTTTCGCAATATCCCCTTGTGTGCCATGACCTCCTGAAACACACAGTGTTCTGTGTTTCCACATTTTC